GATACCACGTGGCCTAGAATTTGACTCCCAGCCAGTAACTCACACTTCACCAAACTGGCAATACAGCGTATGGGCACTATCAGCAATCTTCAAGGACACCACTCAAAGTGTCTCGAATCCGTGCTCACTCCATCAGGAAGGCGAAATAGTTAAGGGATGTCGTCCACAGAAGACGACACAAATCGTCTAAGAACTCCCGGAAAATCACGGTTCATCAAGTCCATCACAGACTGCCGGTGCATTTGTAAAGCCCAAGATGGCATATCACCAGAAACTCATAATGGCCAATAGCGCAGTACGGAATCCTGTTTTTCGAATTCATCCTCTTCCATTGACCCAACTGGTGCGACCGATGCTCAAGGTCTATCTTAGAGAAAAACACGGGAACCCTTCAACTGGTCAAAAAATCATTAATACGGGCGAGTAGGATACTATTCGTAATCGTTAGCCCGATTCAAACTTCCCGGTAGTCATACACAATTCTCAAGGCACATCTTCTTTTTAACAAAGAGGGCCGGTGCTCCCACGGGCGAAAACCAGGACGACAAAGCCCTTATCGAGCAATTCCTGAGCTGAAACTTTCAACTCAACCAAACTCTGCGGAGTGCAAAACAGGTAAGGTGCCATAGGAAATCGGTCATCGTACAGGCACTAAATCAAGTAGAGAACTCTACTCTCTCAGATGAAGGTTGGCAACTAACAAGATCTCGGGAAAAGACATGCCAAATACTCACAACACCATCCTCGCAACACAATCTGAGCTCATCACACTCACTTTACTCTCAGAAAGCTAGCAAGTACACCACTAGCGCACTTCGGCATCGAATCATACCCTCCGGTGGCACTACCAACCCGGTCTCCAAGAAATGGAACGCCACTCCTCGCTCAGTGTAATAAAGTGACCCTCTGGCGCTAGCAATCGATAAACAGCCCGGTAATGACGTAGACCATTCCATACCCAAAGAACATCAAAAAACCCTTCATGGCATTGACAACAAACGGAAAAGGAAGCCTATAGTCGGCGACCTCAATATCACAGCCTCTAACACCCTGTTTTCAAATCAACTCACCCACCCAAAGGCGATACCACATCAATAGAGATGCAACTGTGGCTAACTCCAATTCCAATAACAGATGCATAAGTAGCAATACAAAAGAATGAATGATGCAGCCCGTGTCTATCAACTACATTAGCACTCGAGTCTGCAAAACAGAAAAGTACCTCTCACTACGAATGGAGCCGGTATTAAATCCTGCCGCGGTAAACAGATTACACGCGCAGTCCTGTAAGCCCCTTGGTCTACCCTTACCTCTCCGGAAGCAAAGATCTCTGCACAGACTGGGCATACGAACTCCCGGATTGGCCTCGAGGCCTGACAGTTGAGCATGGCTGAAGCAACCTGCGTCTGCCTAGAACCAGACGCCCCCGAAGTGGCAGTCAATCGGGCATAACCTCTTCAGTGCTCAGGCTGTCCACACTGATAACAAGACAAGGGCTGCCCCCTGCCCAAACCTTGACTCTGCGGTTCTAGCGCGAAGAAGAAGCAGCTCTCTTGACCTCCACACCTCACTTCTGCGGGCAAACAGAAACCTTGTGACCCCAGCTGGCCACACTGTAACTAGGTGAATCCCTCTACATCACCTACTCCCGGAGCCTGCACTCGGACCTGGCGGCAAGGTCGATCTAGCAACACCTACTCTGCGACTGCTGAGGGTTATGAACCCTCTGCCTCCTGCCATCACCTGGCCACTCTTGGTCCTCTTGGAAGCCTCTCTTCCCCGCATTCCTCTCTCCTGTATCATGAGCTCCATATGAGCTGCAGCGCGTCCATCTAGGTGTCTATACTCCCGACGTAAAGACCCAACCACTCTCAGCTTGAGGCCCCGCCTCAATTTCCGCTCAACTCATAAGCAACGGCGTTCTCAGACGCCATGTAGTTCAGGTGCAAACTGGACAGACTGGTAAATGGTAGCTCCAAACTCGGCCACTGATCAAGCCCTGCTGATTAAGGCGGGCTAAATCTGATCCCGTGTCAGCTCTCTCCCTAGCTGTGGCAGACGCAAAACCTCTCCTGAAAAGCTTCACAAACGCCTCCCTAAAACAAGTACACACCCACACGAGCCTTCTCGTAATTTCACCATATGACCCACCATTCCCTTTCAGTTGGAGGATGCCACATGGTCACTTTTCAGTGCTCCGTCTCGATTGCAAGCATCTGAAACGTCTTACTCATTTGCTCTAGCCATCTCATCAGCCCTCAGTGGCTCCTTCGGATCCCCGACAAACACTCATCCGGATTAGCCCGAAAAACTCCCTCTCAAGAAAGAAGGCCCTGCCTCAGTTGCCTGATTCCAGCTCTGAGAATACCCGCAAAGTCCTGACTATCTCCTGGCAAA